TTAATGAAGCCTGCAGCCAAGATAATGGCAAAAGCACTAACAGGAGATAGAGTGAACAAACTTTTGACATCGTTTCTCTCTCAAATAATACATTTATATGTCTAATATGATAATATACACATTGTCTAAGAATGTGAAACAGATGTCCTTATGTGATGTTTCTTAAAGTTGTTATTATGCATTGCAAGTCGATGAGTCCACTGGTATTGCGAATTTTGCAAATCTTATGGAGTTTGTTAGATACGACAAAAATCAAGAAATTCATGACGACATTTTATTTTCCAACCTTTATTAAGTCACAAAGCAAGAGAATATATCTTTAATGTTATGAACAAATTTATGCAAAAGAACAAAATTAATTGGAATGAGCACGAATAGAGCAAAACGTATGGTCGGAATTAATAGAGGACTTGTTGCAAAAATACAAAATGTTGCCCCAAATGTCATATCCACACATTGTTACATACACAGAGAGGCTTTGGCAACAGGGTAAGATGCCTCCTTATCTACATAAAGTTCTAGATGAAAGAGTGAATATCGTTAACTATAACTATATTAAACGCCGTCCTTTGAATGCACGACGTTTTTCGCAAATATGTGAAGAAATGGGAAGTAGTCATATCTAGCTTCTTTTCATACCGATGTTCGTTGGTTATCTCGAGAAAAAATTCTAAATCGATTGTTTGAATTTAGACATGAACTTCAATGTTTTCTTATGGCTAGATTTGTGTTGAGAAATTCTTTACACGACTAAAAAAAATGGCTTTTAAACTAGCATACTTAGCAGATATATTCTTTGTTTTGAATTGCCTCAACTTATCGTTACAAGGCAAAGAAATTTCATTTTTTCATGTTTAAGATAAAGTGAACGCTGCCATCATAAAACTAAATTTATGGCAAAAGAAAGTTGATAATGGAGAAGTAGACTCGTTTCCCTTTCTTCATGAGTTTATAACAAGTTCGGCTACCAAAATTGATGCTGATACTCTGAAATGCGTAACACAGCATTTGGAGAGTTTGTAAGTGGGCTTGAAAAACTCTTTCCCTAATTTAAATAAAAGTATTGAATGGATAAGATATCCTTTTAGCATTAACACAACATCCATGCCTAAAGATTTGACGCATGCGGAAGAAGAGCAATTGTTAGAATTGGCTTCAGATGGATTTCCTTGAAAAATAAACATACGGAGTGTACTTTAACATTATTCTGGTGTCACTGCGATACATACGCATGAGCCCAAAGATTATAGTTTACAAGCTCTTTTTTTTTTTTTTTTTTTAATCATTTTGTCTCACGAACGCATTCCATTTGACATCGCTCATGCTTAAAATCTCCTGCATGAAGTCAGACTTGAACGTGATTTTTTATTGAACATTTATGTTTTAAAGGTATACACTGACTGATTCCGCTCTCTTTTGTGCATTTCAGAACATGGTCAAGTAGACTGAGCATACATTGGTATTGCAACTTAAAGAACACGGCTTTCATATGAATATATTAATCGCTTCTGATGATGGTCTAACTTAGAAGCAGCTCTTACACAAACAACGACTCAAATCGCCCAAAATAGAAGAAGAAAAGAAATTACAACCGCCATGTATTTTCGCTGCTGTTACTTCAGCTCAAAATGACGGTCACAGACAGCTGATAGACTTCCTCGCAGAAACCAGCCAAACCTCTTGTGACAGAAATGCAAGGCAACTGAGCTACCTCTCTTGCATATTCTTTGCTCCTCTGGAAGAAGTTTCGATAGAAATCGATGAAGACATAAAAGAACCAGACTCCCTTCATCTTCAGAAAAAAAGAAAGGTTACCTCCGAAAACTGACACAGCCATGATGTGTCAGTTTAGCCAACACAATATATACAAATTCCTTGGAACCCTTACCAAAGATGAAATCAGGCTAAAATTTGTTTCAGGCACTATGCGCGAGAGGATTTTATTCTTTTTTCATAAAGAGATATGCAATTTAACTATTACGGAAGAAAGCGATCCCTTGTCAAAGTGGTCACTCGATGACTTCTTTTGAAACTACAATTAAAGAAACCCAGGATAAGCTGCGATACAAGGGTTCTCCTGTCATTAAAGTAATCCAGTTTTGGAGAACGAAAGGTGATGTTGTCGAGATGCTTCCTATCTTCTTTGCCGAGATATAATGTACTAATACCAGAACACAGATTTATCGATAATCAAATGTCTTCAGACAGACTTACCGATATCAGAGACAAATGTCTTCATATAATTAATATCAGGAAGTACAAACCAGCGAAAACCACTAATGATGCATTTCTGCTGGCATGGTCACATCGGATGCAACAATGAACCGCACTTTTTTACGTGTGGACAAGGATACTTATATAGGATGCCAAATGAAGGAAAACAAATATGTGGTAGCTGTTTTAATCTGATCACATGGCTCCTCTCAAAGTTGTCCAGTTCACTCCTAGGCTTCGGCGAAATTCATCCACAAAAATATTTTTTTTCTACAGCAAAATCCAAAGATGAGTGCGTTCCTAACCACAGGAATAAATCTTTTAAACTGGATTCTGTTGTGTATGCACCGAATGAAACAAGCAAAAATTCTGCTTGCAGAGTCTTGACTTAATAATCTCATTAATAATACTAATATTGCGTACATTTGCTTCACAGAATATATCTAGTAATGAATGGTAGAAGACGGAATCTTCTTTAGCGAAGCTAAAACTTGCGCTTTCCCTAAAAGAAATTATGAGGAAAGAAGAATTAACCTTTTTTTAAAAAAAAATATGTCAGTCCTGAACGGATTCATTGCATCAGGTATGTCTGGTGACCAGCCTTTCCGCGTTCTCTGACGTTAGATGATTTCCCTTTCGGCAAGACTTCGCTCACTTTAGACACCTCAGTAGCATTTCAGAGGCAAGATGCTTCTTATTTCTTCACTATTTTAGTTTTTTTCTCAGCCGATAAACTCAGTTCTTAAACTCTTCAAATTTCAAACTGTTGGCAACCGCCGTTGATTCCCCTAGCGCATGCGCATGATAAGGAAGTTCTCTGCTGCGTAATGCATTTCTATGTAGTTAGTCAACGTCAATGGTGAGTATCACATGTAAGCGAGAAGCGCTAAGCGCTGTGTAATATCATGTTTCTACTCTGTTGTTCAACGTCTTCATAGCTTAAATAAATGTTTGTCCACGTATATGGAAGACGTAATTTTATTCTTCACAAACCCTATACGGGATTACTTCAAGAATCTGGCAAAATTTAACTCCTTATTACCAGAATGACAATGGAGTATTGGCGGTAGTTGCAATTCATTTATTTGTGTTTTGAAGTGGTTTAAACTAAATAATAAAAGAATAAGTGTCGTAACTAAATATTAAGAAAACAAGAACAACGTTCCTGGATTGAAAAAAGAAGTGGCACAAGACTGTAATGCACAAAATTGTTATAACAGCCTGCGAGAAATATGTAGTGATTTCAGTGCTATCGTGCAATAGTATAATGGATGAAAATTATCCATGAAATAAAGCCATATGATACGAAACTGTGTTGTTCTACATTGTGCATGGCGTCCTTAATTACCACGAAATACCGTATATTATCCAAGCTAAAAAGTTGGCACACTTAAGTACTAACAGGAATCTTTTCGAACCGGTTCCATAGGGAAACTGCTGATTTAATGGAATAGATCTTCGTGATGGACAAGTTCATTCTTATGACTACTCGTAAAACGGCAATCCAAGGATATTCTGGTTCGTCTAGTCCACAAAATCATCGCGCTGCATGACATAAAGTTGATGGACATAAAGTTGATTGGTATACAATATTCATGGAACTTCCAGAACAGTCTGTTCACCCTGCTTACCGCTGCGATTTTCTACAGCTTCCAGCTTTCAAGATAAAATAACAACACTTGTTGTTGACGAATCCCGTCTTTTTCTGTGAAAATGCAGAGTGATATAATGGCAGCGCTAGTGTTGATTTCGCGCGACGGCAGCGATGGGATGTACTGGTACAGCAGCCATACTAGCTTTTTAATTTTTTAATAATTATAATAGTATAATTTTTTCGATAATTAAAACAGTAACCAATTTTAATCTAATATTTTTTATGTGCGCATATTTAATACAAGTAGCCAACAGCTTGTGCTAATAGCTATATATATTTTAATATTTCTATTGAGAAATTGAAAAATAATCAGTGTAAAATGTAGTGGTAGTACTAAAGTTTTTCAATGTTTATTTAGATGGTACGCGTTGGTCAAAAGGTTGAGAACCGCTGCTCTAGGGTAATTGCTGTAGAATATCAATAGATATGGTAGTTTACGCTACCTTTTAATAGTTTGACAGAACATGGTAGACATGGTAGGCAATTATATTCAGAACGTTTAAGTACCTATGATAATAAAGAATTTTCAGAGCAATCAATGTGTCGCGATCATTTTTATGTGGAACACTTGTTGGAAGACAATATTAAAATAAATTACTAGAATTGAAGAAAGTTTTAACGATACAATTTAAGACATAAGTCAATTAAAATGCTGGATATTTCAAGAATTTTGATCCGAAAATATAAGATATACGTAAATCTGGATTTCTGGATACCTTAAGATTTAATTTAGAAGCCAGCATAAAGAAAGTGGGACTTTCGAAATCACGGCTAGTACAGTAATAAAATAATTTGATCTTTTCGAAGAATAGTATCGCATAATTCACCTCAACAAATGGTCATACTCACAAAACTTGAAGCAGCAGTTACGTAGAAAATTTAGATATAATTCGTGAGATAATAAGCAAGGAAAGCCTCGAGATTATAGTAACGCAAGCACGCTTTCGATTATTTAATATTTTATTATGGCAAAGCTATATGCCTAAGGAATGGGATGCCTTTGTGCCAGACGTAGTAACAACAGCTGGGCCGTATTCACGATACACATGGGAAAACTAATAAATTCTCATGCCACCTGTCCATTCGCTGGTATTTTAATCTGGGTTAAACTACAAGTGTTTAGGACTCTTACCGTTTAGGCGTTAATAGCAGCATGGCCGGTATCTGTTGGGATGCAACACGTACTCTGGAAATGGTCTGAAATTAAAGGTGAATGAAAAAAAAATATTAAATCAAACCGTTAGCACCAGAGAATTTTAAAAGAATAATTTACACACAGATATTTAAAACAGTGTCTCCCATTCACTACCCTCTTAATTCTGATTCGTTTCTTAATATACATTTGAAGATTATATCTTCTATTTGAAATTTTGAACAAAGAACTCGATTTATACGAGGACAAAAATATGATAGCTATCTCAACTTTTTTGGCTAAATTATGCCCTCATAATAAATATATATTTTTAAAAAGTATTTCCTGTTAAATTTTTATAACAGAATTTTGAAGTGTTTTCCTTAGGTACTTTGGCTATATGTGCACATAGCTAAAGCTCCTAAGCAGAACTCTCCGAAATTCTGATACTAAAATAGATAAAAGTATTTATTAAACCAAGAGCTACATTTTTAGAAAAAAATGTGACTTACATTCTGATTTCCCACGGGGAAGACTGCATGCTATCAGTCCTTTCTAAAGCTTAGCACAGAATTGGGTACAATTTACCAGGAAACTTGCCCATTCAGTTCTCTACTAAGCCATACTTTCCGTCAAAAATATTTGATAGGCCTTTCTTAAACTCTTCGGAGTAAATGAGCTGACAAAAATTATACCACTAATTTGAGTTAATTAAAAACACGCGAAGACCATCTGCTTAATGGGAGGGATGTCCTCTCTGTGAACTCTCTGATAGTCAGATTAGTTTAGCTGAATGTAGCAAAAGCTACGCTGATTATACGCCTATGAGAATGGATGCCTTTGTAGAGGACTTTCTGGCAGAAACTGGCTCATACTTATGTTACGCATGCAGAAAAATAGAATACCAAAGACGCAACCAGCCCTTTATCCTCGGATGATCGAACCCAAATCATGTTAAATTAAAAGTATTTATCATTCGACTACTGATGAGGCCGACACTTTAACGGACACTGGCTCTTATTCACGTTACACATCAAACAAACTACGAAAGCGAACTGTGTCCTTTGATTCGTACTCAGCAGTCTTTAACTGCTTGGCATTTGTAGAGAATATTACTGTTAATGCAGTGAACGCAACCATTAAATACATAGTTTTCCTCATCATTCATTGATGAATGAAATAACATTTATATATATATTTTTTTATTTATATTTTTGTTATATATGGTTTCACATTACAGTACAGAAATTGCATTAGCAATTTATCTTAATTTTTTAATTGTTTGTATTAAACCAATGAGGTATACTTTCACATTAGGTCCCTTTGGCGTCAATCACTCCACTTGGCGCCAGCTAGACCATACTTTCAACATTTGTTCTGGCGCGCCCAAGACAAAAGCAATTTCTTCCAGTCGCCGCACGACTTTTGATGTATCGACGAAAAATGTATTTTCGAGAAAGCCGACGCTTCATCACGTGAGCAACCGGCTCGTGAGCTGGCGCATACTAGTGATGCATTTGTCACGTCAGCAGTCTGTCTGAGTTAGAATAAGGTCGCGCCCTGAATCTAGAAGGCTGCCCACGAAAGAATTGAGGGAAAGGGGATGAAAGGATGGTGATATTCTGTAACATGCACCAAACGTTTTCATTTATTCAGTAAATTCTTCTCTTTAATCAACTTAATGCAATAACAGTATAGCACATTTTTAACTCATGGCTCACAAAATATTAAAAACACATCGATACTGAAAATGAGATATGGTAGCAGTCACATACAGATCATTCCTAAAGTTCTTTATAATCCCTCCAGAATGCTCCATTTCTTAGTATAATTACAAACTTGAAAAGTAGTTTTCGTATTCAGTTGATAAATACACACATAGGTAATTAGTGTGACACCGATATGTTACATTTACGATTAAAAAAATCAATACATGTTTTGCTTTTAGCACACTGATTACTATCAGTTCTCATCTACGTAACAGTACAGCTGTATATTTTTTGTTGCTTTTCTGAATAAAATATATAGAGAAATAAATAAAATAAATTTCCCTCATAAAAGTTTCTAAGAAAGCATTTCTCGTAAAGCTGATATTTATCGAGTGCTATCTGCTTTGGAAAGAATATTGCAGGAACAAGTTAATAAATTTACTAATTTATGTTAATAATTATGAAGCTGCCATCGTAACAGGATTCTGCTCTCATAACCTAAATTTTCAAGCCAAATAAAGCAACACATATCTCCAGTATTGTCTTTATTTTTGTTTCGATTTTAATGACTAATAGTATAGTCATTGCAGAAATTAGATTCCGCACAACTTGGAAAAATAATATTCTTGTGTATGTAATGGTCTTATCAGATATAATATTTTCATTCAAATATATAAAATTAGACTAATATGCAATTCCCAACAGATCTTCAGTACAGTTTTACCTAGTTTTAAAACTAAGAGACTGCAATTTTGTAATTTGTCTTACTTGGGCGATTTCTATGTGTACACTAGTGTATGCTTTCTAAGAAGATGCTACTATTCTGTCAACTTCGATTAGTTTCTCAGTCAATAATAAAACAGACAAAAAGCTTAACAGGAAAAATAATATGGACTTTTACTCTGAGAATAATAGATTGGTGAGTTGCTGTTTCTTTTTTCATAAGAAATTAGGATATTCGTAAACAAAACAATTATGAAAATATTTTAATTTAATGTATGTTACTAGACAATCATTACTAATGTAGTATACATGTATTACGTGCGTAAGGCTTGTAATGTTTTGAATGCATATACAACCGATGAAAGCTTAATGAAATTTATTTTTCTAAAAACACTTTGCAATTCTGAAGTTATTCATATAAAAGTACTCATACAGCTATTCTCAGTATGACAGAGCTAAACCAATAGTTACCACTTCAAACTACTAAGAACATTGAATAAAGGCAATGAATGCAAAAAGCCTCAAATGTGCCAGTCATCTGTGTCTTAGTACCCTGAACTCGTAGTACTCTGAGCTAAACTGAAAAGATGCTTCCTCCGATCTTATATAATTTTACCAAGAAATTGCTGGAAGGCATACACAATTACAACTGTATAGGGTCGGATACAGGTACAGTTAACATAGGATCGAACCCAAATGTCGCCAGATGATCGCCAAGTTTGGCTAGTGATTTCTCGCCAAAAGGGAGACAAATATTTAGTCGCCAAAACCATTGCCAGCTTGATGCTCTTTGACCTTAATGTTAAATGGATTTATCCAAGTAACCCTATTTTTTCATAAATGATTCGCATGCTAAGGTCTTTCATATCACATTACTTAAGAGATACTACAATTTACATATAATTTCACTAAAATTATTGACATATTCGGAACCTTTAGGAGGGTATCATTTTACCCCATTAAAATAATAATTTTAAATCAGAAAATACATAGACACTTTTTTTTGAAAGCCGTAAAAAAGCGATAATTTTGGGCGCAATATAATCATGAGAGTTGCAAATTCTAAATTACATCACCACGAGAATGAACAAGGCAGTCTGACACCTGTAATTATCAAGTAAAAGCCTTCAGTTATAAACCGATAATGTAATTTCAGTAGAAACACGTAACAAGCATTTTGTTTGTTTCTAAGTTCATTATTCACCAATTATTCATCGACAACAGTAAAAATGCTGACACTTATAAGACAAATGATACATTACGAGATCAATTACATTTCATTGTCGGAGATGAATAATGAAAAAAAAATAGCTTGACCTTCACTAAGGTTTTATCTCCACTAATTGTGTGTCTCTTTTACTAAAACTTAATAATGTATCGCATGTCTAGGAAGCTAAATGAAGCCATCAAAGGCTTATATTAATCCTTTTACAATATCTCGAACGAGAGAGAAGCAGTGATAACGTGAAGTTCTTTGATTAAAATTTGAAGTCAAATGTTCGATTCAGATAACGCCGAAATCAATGCCATTATGTTTCAGATACAAGTACATGTGTTCGTTTAATGTGTTTATATATTTCAATGAATAATTCTATATTTCAATAACTAATTCTAAAAAAAGTGCGAAGTCTTTCCTTTTTGACAGGTAGCATTTTATACCATTATTAAATACAGCTATTAATATTCTTTATATCCTTTAATTAGAATAAAACTTCCTTTTAAAACACAGAAAATTTTCTGAATATTTTTTGGAGAAAAGTATCTAATTTTTTCCTCATTAGACAGGCAAAACACTTATTGAACAAATCACTCCATGGCTACTTGTCTCAAAAGGAAAGCCTTCGTTGAAGAATTTCTAAAGTAGCTTGAATTTGCACGGGGAAATCCTGAAGAGCATGTAACTAGCCCTCTTGACTGTTAGCTATTCAGCTTGAGATTAAATACTAGCCTTTACAAATCCTGCAAGTAAGGTTGCTAAAATTTCAAAATCACTTTGTATTTAAAAATTTTTTTTTCATCATTTATTCAAGGTTATTGCGAGAATATAATCCGAATTTATTTATAGTAATATGCCTAATAATGGGTGTAACTGAAGTTAATATCTTTAAGTTGATGGGTTTGGAAAACCAGGCATTTTATACACTTGATGTACCTTTTTATAAAGAGAGAGTAGAAAAAGGCAGTATTAGTTATTCGACACACCCCAGTGAAATGCAAAATTTCAAATTCAATAGTTTTAAATAACTAAAACTGCCATTGTCCCTGCTATTAAATACTATTACACGAATTAGAGGATTTGCATTTTTTGCACTTTGTGTTTCACTGCCATATTTCTTCTTCATGCCAACGGCTTTAAAGGCCATTTCAAACAAAGCCCGCAACAAACACAAATAAGTTGTAATAAATCGAATAGTTATTGAACGAAGTTAATCATTCCCTTAATTACCTGTTTTCGATAAACCTTTCTAGTTTATATGCTACATCAGTGTCAACCAATGCAGCATATTGTTGATGTTTAATTCAATTTTGGGCTTAAGACCACTTTGTGATGTTTAGAAATAAGTATTCGAATACATTCTGTTATGAAAAGATTCACTGATAAACAAAGATTGAAATTATTTCAATTATCTTGAACTTGGCATTTCTTTCACTTCAGATAATTACTAGGTAGATAAATATTATTTCTTGGATTTATTTCTTTACTTTTTAGATTTAAAATGATGGAGGAAATGTATTTGCTGAAACTTTAATGCAAAATTCAGTTTGGGGGACACATTAATGTTTTCCCTGAATCAGTTTTACAGATTTACTATCAAGGATCTCTAACTTGCTAGATTTTACTTGTACCTGTACGAATCAATAACTTCATAAAATATAATTTTTATGTAAACTTGAATCCACGTTTGAAAACCGATATATATATAAGGTTTGAATCAGCCTTTCATCCCTTGAGTGAATCGATAAAATGAGTTCCATGTTCCCTTGGGGACTAAACACCGAGGGTCTTGCGACAAGCTGACCACTTGTCCAGGGCATATACTCATGCACCCTGGGGCCCACGTTCAAGAAAGCAGATATCGAGGCACTGGAGGCCGTGGCCCACTAGGGTTGTTGCGCTATCGAATTTAGTTTTATTTTTGTTTTAGCCAACATGGAGTGTTTAGAGATCTGAGCCTTCTTTGCCAGCCAGTTTTCTCAAGTTTAAATAACAACAACAAAAAAAAAAAATCTTGATGATCCCAGTTCTATTTTTCCGTCCTGTACTGTATTTATAACTCTGTAATTAGAGCAAAGATAGTAATTAGATAGATAAAAAGATCAGAAATCCTTTTCAGAGGGAGGTCGTGTTTTATCATTCCTAGCATAAAAAGAAACAAATCACAACTAGCCAAATACTTAGCAAATTATGCTGAGAATCGCGCTAAATAAAGGAAGAATGTAGGGTTTGGTTATTTTTACGTGATTACGGCAAAGCCTCGAGGGCCATCTGCCTAGGGGTATGGATGCCTTCGTGGAAGATTTTCTAAGGGAAACTAGCTCGTTTACATGTTACACATGAAGAAAACCACGAAAACGCCCATGCAACCAACGCGTTCGCGGG